CGGCAGCAGCCGGGCCCCCCCACAGCCCCACAGCCCCACAGCTCGGCTGCAGGGCACCGCAGCGCCCACAGCCCCACTCACTGCTCCTCCTGTGGACAAACATCCCTTAACAGTTGCATGGTAGACATGATAGAGGCTTTGACCAACACAAGCACTGACATATTTATATTAAAAAATAGTGCAAAATTTCAACATTTATATAAATAACTCTAAACCCCTGCTTTTGATTTTTTTTTTTGTTTTGTTCTTTTTTTTGTGTTTTTTTTGTTTGTTTGTTTGTTTTTTACAACGTCATACACGCTTTTTGAGTTGGCACTCAAAAAATTGCCATTTTTCTTCTAGTTCAGAAAACAACTTTTTTTTTTTTTTTTTGAATAGGCCTCTTCTAATACAAAAATACTCCTGCTCCTTACACATACACTTTTCTCTTATTCTTAATATATATTTATATATTTATATTGCAGATCTTTAAACAAAACGTTTTTTTGTGCAAATATTTTGTCTTTAAAGTTAAGTGAAAGAACCAAACGGAAACAAAAAAGCATTCACACACAGCTCAACTAGAAACAAAACCAAAAAAAAAAAAAAAAAAGACTACAGTTGTTTTCTTTTTCCTTTTTCAACGTCTAGACACAGCTCAATAAAGAAATGTTTCTGCAAGCTTTGTGGGCTTGTGCATTCAGACCAGACATAACAAGTAAATATTTATACACGGAGAGATGGGGAAGGGCTTTTTTTTTTTTTTTTTCCTTTGCTCATCTTCCTCAGCTCCCAATCCCTCTCCTTTTTCCTTGCCACCAGAAGTGCAGAGTGTTTCACCGACTTTGCTTTTTTTCTCCTTTTCTTTTTCTTTTTTTTTTCTTCTTCCTTTTTTAAAAGGGGTGCCCTTTCTGTTTCTCTTTCTCTTTGTTCCACGCCGTTGTGCTCTCAAGGCCATTGATTTGTGAGGGATGGAGTCTGCTGCCCTCCAGCAGCGAGGGCACCCCGCTGTTGTTCTGCTGGTGCTGGTAGAACGTGGCTCCGGGGTAGTGCCCGATCACCTCGCTGTAGGTGGGCGGCGGGCCCTCCATCCTGCCATTGCTCCCATAGCAGGTCGCGCTGATGCCAGAGTTACTGCTGGGGGGGCACGGCCCCCCGTACACCGAGTTATCTATCAAGTCACTGTCGAAGATGGTTCTGTTGGGGGGCGCGCGCACCGACTCCCTGTTGAGCTCCATTTGCTGCTCGGGGTCGCGCAGCTGCAGAGTGCAGGGTCCCTGGTACGGGGGGGGCTCCTCACCGTCCGACAGCGAGATGGTGGGGGGCAGGTCGATCTCGTGCTGCAGGTAGGGGTAGGTGGGCTGGAACCTGTTGAAGCGGTCCCGCTGCAGGAAGGACGGCACCGCCAGGCGCTCGCTGGGCCGCGGGGTGTAGATCTGCTGCTGGAGGGGAGAGAAAGAAACAAGAAGGAGCGGCGGGATGTGAGGTGCGGCCCTGGGGCGCGGGGACCGGCGGCACGCAGAGCCCAGGCTGTCCTCACCTCAGCCATCCCGCTCCCCGACACAGTGCTTTCCGACGGCCACAGGCTGCCCTCCTGCATCGGGAAGGAGAAGAGAGGTTGGCGTCAGCACGGCTGAGCAGTGCCCCCTCACCCCGCTTCCCCCCACCCTGGGACAGGATGGGAAGGGATGGGCACGCCGCCCTTGGAACGCCGCTCCTGGCAGGGCTTCCCTCCCTTCCCGTCCCATTTAGGTCTGATAAATCAAAATGAATGATGAGTGCCAGCAGCATTTTCCAGACTGCGGGCCTCCCCCTCCCAGCCATGCCCACCCCGTGGGTTCCTCTCCAGACCCCAGCCGTGTTTTTCAATATGTGATTCATGAGCCATGGGTGATTCACGAGATATCAGCAAATGCTCCATGAAATAATGGCGAGATTGAGAAAAACAGAAAACCTCACACCCACATTCTGATGCAAGCAATCAAGAAAACCATGGGAAAATAAAGACAGTTAAGCGAATACTTAAGCTTAATCTTGACTTGGCTATAAAGAATACATCCCTAGCAACAGCGTGGCTCTACAGCATTTCTTCCCCAAAGGGACCAACAGCCCCTTGTTACAAAGACTGAGGAGCTGAGGATCTGTTCATCCTGGCACCAATCCCAGTGCTGCAACCTGTACCTGGGACCCACAGCCCCTGCAAGGAACACCCACAGCCTGCCCACATGGCCTTACAGCCCCAAACAAACAAACAAAAAAACACGGCCTCCTTCCATTGGTAGCTGATACTGTGAGCACACAGTTCACTTCTACATTTCTGCCCCGGGACCTGAAGTATTTAAATATTGCTAATATTCATATATATTGCAACACTGCTCCAGGAGAGAGAGCAGGAGGAAAACAAACCTGGAGGGCTCATAAATTCATCTCTGCTGGCTGGCACTTCCCAGCTGTGAGCAGGTGAACCTCCAGGGCTGGCACAGTCAGACACCTTTACCACCAGTGGAAAAAAAACTGCCAAGCCCCCTTCATATTTCCCTTTTAGGATGAAGTGTCCCATCCAAAGGTCACTCTCCACCTCTTCCCAGGGATGTCCAGGGATTTCAGCTGTCTGGCAGCAGCCTGCCCCTCGCCCAGCCCTTCGGAGCCATCCCAGCCCTACAGAGCACAGCCCAGAGCACCTTGCAGTGCTCACCTGCTGCCCTGAACACAGCGTAAGCCCCGTGTTAACGTCCCCACAGAACCAATGAACAAACCCCAGTTTTTCCCTTTTTCTTCATTTTCCCCAGTTTGGGATACACTTCTCACCGGATATGCAGCCCCATCAAACTGTTTCTGAAATAACTGCACATCCACCTCAGAGTGGTCCTGCTGCCAGTGCAAGGAAAATGGTGATCCATACCAAAAGGAGATGCCCCAATACCTCCCCCTGCTCGGAGCCCCACTCCGGCTGCAGCCCACAGTGCCGTCCCTGTGCTGGGCAAGGCAGCAGCACCACACTGCACAGCCCCAGGATGCACACAGCTGTTTACACAGGCACCGACTGTTTAGTCTGGGCTGCTCTAAGCTACTCCTTGCCTGCAGGCACCGTCTGCATTCAAATTCCCCCAGCAGCTGAAGGAGCTGCAGGCTGCAGGGCAAAGCCTGGCCAAGCGGGATGCTCAGCACCATGCCTGCCTCCTGTGCTCCCAGAGAGCTCCCATCTCATCTTCCTGAGTCAAGAGCAGGATGAAAACTGCCAGAAACCAACAGCCAGAGGTGAGCAAACCCACAGACACAGAGCATGTCCCCAGCCCTGGTGCCATGGGACGGCCACCACCAGGCCCCCTGCATGGCCAGGCTGCCCCTGCACAGTGCTGCACCCCATTTGGGACCTGAATTCATCTCAGCAATGGCTGCACCCCAAAAGCTTTGTTTTCTCAGAATGGAAGTTGGGTCTGATGAGCAACATGGCTGTGAAAGCCTCTGTAAGTATTCCAGGACTCATTCTGGAACCTCAGACTTCTTTCTGATTTCATTTTACAGCTCCATCAGACTTCACAGAACCTATTGCTTTAGTTATGCCAGAGCAGAGTGACACAGATTAAATTTCTGAGCTGTCTTTTCCATTTTGTCTTAGGAGGGTCTCTATGCTCCAGAGGCGCAGGGACAGCGCCGTTCTTATTGAAAAAAAATACATATATTTTCAGTCACATTTCTTGAAGAAAAATAAAGATACCTGTTACAAGGAGACAGTTTAAGAAATAGAACAGATAGGACTGTGATGCACAAACAGGTGCAAAGCAGGAATTCCTTGCTAGCACAAATCACATTAAAAAACCCCACCTTCGGGGAAATGAGTTTCTCCTTCAGTTGTAATTTTTGAGCTACAAGAACTAAAAAAGACAACTGCTGCACATCTTGCAGTACTCTGACCATGGGATGAACTACTTTAATATTTTAAAAGATGAAAAGCGTGTTTGTAGCTCCAGTGCCTGTCTGGTCATGACAGCAAAATGAAGTTTGAGATGTAAAAAGCCCAACACCAGTTCAGTGCAAGTTTAATGGCTCACACAAGCTGGTTCTGAGCCGAGCAGTCACTGCACACAGTCAGACTGCAGCAGCTCTCCCCAGGAAGGTGTGCTGTGCTGAATCCCAAATGAGCTGCCTTGAAGGTTGTTATCATGGCTGATGCCACTGTGAGACCTCGAGGGCTTCTCGTGCCTCCAGGAGGGCTCTGGGGACACGCAGGAGCTTGGCCCCTCACCTCGCTGTGTCAGGGCAGGGAAGGATCAGAAGAGGGAGAACAATAAATGCCCCAAATGGGGGTCAGAGAAAGGCTCAGAAGGCTCCGCGCCCTCATGGAAGTCTGGCACTCATCTCTTTCCAGGTTAGCCTTCTTTCTTCTTCTTAAAGAAAATAAAAATAGCCAACCTGAAAAAGGCTTGTCCTGACATACAGTATGCTGACACGATGCAGAGTGGTTTGGTTGAGCTTGGGGCTTTCCCAGCATTCCTTCCCAACAGGCATCTTCCTCCAGCAGGAGAGCAGCACAGCGCAGGGACAGCGATGTGATGGGTACCACAGGCTGAGCAGCCTTCAGCAGTGCCAAGCTTATTAAACCTGATGGCAGAGCTCTGCTCTCTTAAAATGAAAAAAAAACAAAAAACCACAGTACTTGATCGTTTTCCTGGTTTTGCTAGAAAGGAATGCAGCCCTGCAGAGACCAGGACAAGGCAGCAGTGCCTGCTAAGCCTGCCCTGCACATCTGGAGACAGGAGCTTGGAGCAGTGACCTTGAGAAAGCCGTAGTGTTTAAAAAGCTTTAAGATCTTTCAGAATGAATGAAGCAAAAATCCATCAGCACAAGGTATCCCTGCACAGGGCTATGTAGGCAGCAGTGAGCACGCTCACCCTCCTCTAAACTGTTTTGTCTTTTCTCTGTAGGTTCCTGTAACGGAGCTGCTGTATCTGATGAAACCTTCAGCTCTGCATAGACCAGCACCTGCCACAGGCTGGAGAGGCTCTCCTTGAGCTGCAGAGGCAATAAACACATTTCTCCTTGAGCTTCTATGAACCATAGAGCCTGAGTTGTGCTGGGAATCTCCCGAGCATCCCCTTGGTGAGGTTTCTGCTCACGTGTCTCATGGGCACTTCCTGGTACCTCCGCCACAGCAATGACAGTGCTGCTTCACCCCCGGCAAACTCTGGAAATCCTTGAGGATTTCCCATTCTCTCGAAGGCAAGGAACAGATTAATACACTCTTTTGGGACTATCCAACTGGAGCTGCTACCAGAGGCAATAGTTTGGTGCTGTAAATGTCAAGGTGTGTGCATCCCCAACATCTGGCAGTGCAAGGTGGTTTCAGGAACAGGGCACACCAGGAACAGCCTCGTGTGGTTACTCTGTTAATGGAAAGTCCAAGCTGCCAAGTGTAGAGCTGCCTGTATACTACATCATACGACACCCTGAAAAGCCAGAGGCATCCCTGCAAGGCCCCCACGTCCCTGGGCAGATGAAACCAAGACCCAGCCTGGTCATCTCTCCAGGCAGCATTGAGCCGCACACATGCAAACCCAACTGAGACGAACGCCTTTGGCTCTCACATTTCCCAAATTTCACATCACTTGGCAAACAACACCGTACGGCACAGATGGGAAGAGCAGCGTGTGACTTACTGATGACAGATTCTCATCTCTCCGCCTCCCTTGGCTGTGCCGGCTGATGAAGGATCGCGCAGAGAGTTTGTAGTGGTTCAGCAGGCAGGTGATCACCACCACCATCACCATCATCACCACCACGATGATGATTATCTGTACAAACTCCAACTCCGCTGCAAGAGAGAGAGAGAGACATATTGTGAGCCACCTGAAAAAGCAGCGCTTAATGGAGTGTGAGGAGGAGGAATTTGGCCAAGCAGGCGGTGACACAGCACAGCTGCATCCTTCCCCCACAACACTCCCAGACACACACACGTGGGCTCCGTGTGCTTTCAGCCCAGCTACCTCATAAAAGAACACATTAATTCATGTCTTCAGTGCCCCACAGCATTCTCTAGGAGGGACCTTTGGACACGACCCACGAAGCACAGATTTCCAAACCACAACCCAGATAAAACTTGATAAAACTTCCCCACCCCTCCCTGGTGCTCTGCTGCCTGCAGGCTGCACAGGCCACATGCCCATGGGTGCTGATGGAGCCTTCCCCTCCTTGCATGGCCATCGCAGAGCAGGGCTGCAGCACCGCACTGCTCGCCCAGCTGATAGCTGGAGCTTGAGCAGCCTGAACTGGCACACAGGAGAGCTGCCAAAAACCCTCCAAACAAACAGGAACAAGCAAACAGACGACCTGCTTAACTCCAGAGACACTTGGCATCCAAAATAAAAACCAGTTCTGGGCACTTCCACTTTGCACCTCAGTAGGGATGGCTACAAAATGCACTTTCGGAAGGCTCTGCCTCACACTACCATGGATGCAGCCACCTGCACTTTATGCAGACACACACAGCACACGTGCCCACACGCAGACTCAAGGTGCCCAAGGGCAGCATCACACTGCTCGCAGTGCCTGCGATGCCATCTGCTGAGTCAGGCAGATTTTTTTTTTTTAATGGAAAGTTTTCTCCTGGCAGGTGGCATTTAAGTGCCAGTAAAAGCAAATAAATGTCAAGAAAACAGTCCAGGTGGTGAGTGCCGCCGGTTCCTTTGGAGTTCATTCTGCTAGCAGCAGCTATTTCTGCCGCTGGACAGGCACACTGCCCATCACCCCCAGATCCCAGAATGTTTAACTCGCTCCATCCACCACCTGCACAATGCAGAGTTATGCCCTGAAAGCAGGAGCTTGTCCTGACACGTGGTGGTAAGGAGCCCTGGGAGCACAGGAGCCCACGGCTCTGACACTGGTGGAGCTGCTACCAGCTGTGCCACCACGGGTTCCCAGGCAGGAAGGGGCTGGTGGCAAGGCTGACATGGGGGGATGGAGAAAGGGGCTCCCACTCTATAGCCGCACTTATGGCCATCCATCAGCAGGAGAAGCAGCTCTGGGAGCAACTGGGGAGCAGCTCTGCAGGCTGACTGCAATTTGCCTGCTTCCCATCAGCCAACAAGGGAACAGCTCACGGATTTGTGCACCCTGAGCCCCAGGGTTGACAGGAGCCCATGGGCAGGGGAAATGCCTTCATGCAGAGAGCACTACAGAAAAGCAAAGACAAAAAGCGACAACCCAAGGTTTTAGGAAGATGAGTCAATTCAGCCTCAGAACGAAACATGTACGTTGGCCACAGCAAGAAGATACAAGAAAAACTAAATGAGGCCAGCAATGGAAAGCCTCCTTTTTAGCTTAAGAAAAAAAAAAAGAAAGAAAGAAAGAAAGGAAAAAAGTAGCACTTCTGAAGAAAAGCGAGAGGAAGGCAGTTATAAATGAAAGCTCCCTTCCTAGAATGAGAGGCACACTAAGCAAACCAAATCCAGCTCCGCTGCTCACAGCAGTGCGGTGATGCACGTAGCATTTCGGCCATCAGGAAGAGCTGCCCCACCTGCACTGCAGAGCTGGGAGGTTGCAGCCAGGAGCAGCTGGGGAGGAAGGGGTACCCATGGAGAGGAGGAGCTGTGATGGGCGATGCACCGCATTCTGCTCGCTTGTCAGACCCCAAACTGGGGGGTTGTGACGTGGAAGCGAGTCCAACCTTACGGCAATCACACTGACTGTATAAATAGCAGAGGGATTTTAATATCTTGCTTTGTGGGAGGGGGATGACAATTAAGCTGAAATTAACATTCTGTAAACTGCCACACCAGCAGCCGTACTCTTCTCCATTTTCCTTAGCGCAGAGCAGGAGCTGAACGTACCCACACTGAGCACCACAAGCAACGCACCTGCCCTGCTGTTTCCCTTGTTGCTGAAATGAACAGTTGCTCACATGCTGGCAAAACCCAGCAGGAACCCCCAGCCCCCGCACCAGGACATGCACAGAGCACCCTCTGCCCCCAGCCCAACTGGAGCCTACAAACAGGGGGTGTGCTGGGGGAGCTCTGATCCACCCAGCAGCAACACTCCTGCTGCGCAGTGTGGCAATGAAATGCAATCCTAAAGAGCCCAGCACACAGCTGGTGCTTTTCAAGCTGCAAGAGATTCGTACCCACTCGAGGTGTGGAAGCTGCTGCCAGCTCTTCCCATTTTAACTTGTCTTCATGGGCTCCATATTCAGAGGGGCAAAAAACGAACCAAGGCACAGCACACTGAAAGCTGGATATACCTGGGGAGATTTTATCCAAGCAGCTCAAACTAATGAAGTCAAAGAAAAGCCACCAAACTTTGAGTTAATATGTTATTATAGAAGTGCAATTCAGCTGCTATGCTAATAACAAACCTTTGGGGAATGAAAAACAAGCCAAACTGCAGAGCACGTCATTTATAATTCTGCTGGTATTCTTAAAACACACACACAACAAAACGAGAAAAAAATACTCAACACATTTTGTGTTTGGCTTCCTAATCATCGTCACTTTTCAATTAGAAGAGACCTCATTCCATTTCTCTCTGTAATTTTCCCCAAGGGAAGTGTTATAAATGCACGAGGCTTTGCAAGATGGGCAAATGCAGCCTCCCGATGCAAAGTAAGGTCACACTAATTTAATTCTGCATAATTTTCACTCCAGAATCCATTTCACACTCGCAGGTTCAGACATTGCGTTAAGTGACACAACCTGCCTTTCTGTGCTCCCCATCCAGACGCTGCAACTTTGCAGCCACTGAGCACCACACAACTGCTCTGCAACGTGAGAAACGCTCTCCCCTCCATGCAGAGCATCACTGCTGAAAGCAAATGCTCTAAGGATGGCAGGCAGAGAGAAGAGAAAAACATACCCATGCACTTTTTGCTTTTGCTCAGGTGTAACACATCTGTGGGTCAAATCTGTTACCTGTATGCCCCCAGTGATTGGAACTGCCATATATTGGTTTCATGTGAGAAGTGAAACTGCTGAGGAAATGATGGCTAAGCTGAACAAATGGATCTATATTAGCAGCAGTTCCTAAGTGAAACACAGCAATGCTGCAGCAAACTGTGCTAAAAGTGCAGTTTTGCTGACACAAAATAGAACAAACCCGAGAATCCCAGGCAGAACACTTTGCTTCTCCCATGCTCACTCACTTCCTCTGGATGCTTTTATCTTTCAAAATCCCTCCTCCAACACAAAGCAGATTGCTGGGCAGTGCAGCATGACAGCTCAGCTCAAGGGCTGCAAGAGACCATCAGAAACATCCTCGCATGGGTGTGGAGAAAGAGCTGCTGCTGCTGCTGCTGCCAGTGGGCGGCCCAGCAAGGCCACAGGTGGGGCAGGAGCAGGGCTGGCAAACTTTGTGTTGCCTGGGAAGGATGGCATGTGCACCTGTGCTTCTGGATGCTCTGCCCAAACCAGGCACAAAGAGTGAGGCTTTCACATTTCGCCTGCTGAAATACGGGCAGGTGTAGCACGGTGTGCACAGCACAGCCTCCCTGCTCTCTCCCTGCTCTAGTGGCAAAGCTGTATGCGAAGGATTACGTGCATTCACATTAGGGGAAAAATGATGGAATTGAGGTTCTGAGGGAGAAGCCTGAACCCAGCATGGAGCACAGAGCACTGTGGGCAGGATGCAGTCCCAGGGCACGAGTGGGGAGCGGCACAGGGCTGCCTGGGGCACTGTGCCTGACAGGGCTTGCACTGCCATGGGATTCACCCCGTGCTGCTCCGCGAGGCAGCGTGGAGCTGAGGAGATGCTTTCTGCCACTACAGCCCTTGCTCCAAGCGCTCAGCAGCACTTCCCCACTCCTCGCTGTGCACAGTGCGGGGCAGAGCACCCGACTTATTTATGGAGCCTGGCTGTGCAGTGACTCAGCACCGTGATTCAACAGATCCCCATCCAGCACCCGTGGAGACAAAGCGGGGAACGACAGCAGGACAGCCTGCAGCACCAGGCTGAGCTCCAGCACTAACCCTGCAGCCAGGGGCAGCCAGGCCATGGCAATTCTGGGACTCATGCAATTCACAAGTGAACAGCTGCCTACCTTCAGCTAAATGCAATGCCACACTGAATGTCCCAGCTCCCTCCTCCCAGCACAGCCCCATTCACGGCCCAAGAAGGAAGGTCTCCATGCACACCAGACATGACAAAGTCAACTGGATGAATTAATAAAGAGCGTTTGCAGCTCTGCAGTAAGTGCTTCCATAATGCACTGCTTCTCCAGGTTTCCATTAACGCCTCTGACACCACGATGCTGCCCTGGAAGCGTGACACTCTCATCCCCTCTCATCCCATGTTTTGAAGTTTTTCATCTATCCCCACCTTTGGGCACCTTTTGCTTGAGCAGGTTCCTTGCAGACACTGATTTACATGAAAAGAACACACAAAAAAATAATGGTACAGGCAGTTTTTGGTGGAGCAGGGACAAGTGGCGGACTGAGGTCCACGTCCCCCAGCTTTAGTGATTGTCTGTCAACACCCAAACTGGGCTGCTACATTAGTAACCTACAGCAAGCATCCTTTACGGGTCCAGAGATCCCTGCTCCCCTGCCTTCACACCAGCTTTGAGGCACAGCAAGGAAACAGCACAGAATCTCCCCCTGCAAATCTCTGCTGCTGTCTTCACAGAGATGCTGCCCTATGGCAGATGCAAAGGGTCTAAAGGGTGTGACTTCCAGCTGCCCCAGCACCTACATCTCTGGCTGAAGGCCTCAAAAAACATCCCACTCCTTCCCACCCCTACTGGCATTTCTAAGCACCACAGCTTCAGCCATGGCTGTGCCCCACAGCGCTGGCAGCAGCAAGGAGATGCACAAGGACTGACCTTACCAC